TCCGATTTGATTTGCAATGTTTGAAAATTCTGTAAAGATCAAACCTATTGTTTACCGATTTCCACGCATGATTTGATCCGTCAATCAAATTGAGCTTCTTGGTTTCTTTTAATGCTGATTTAGGAACATTAACCTCCGCTTCTATTAACTTCGTGTTCAATAAAGAATTGTTAATTGTCCAATGTGAAGTGCGGAACAAAATATCAGTCAAGCAGGAAAAGGTGTGTTCCACAAGATTCCCAGTCATGTCCGTGACAAAAATATTGGAAACCTTTATACGTTCTTTTCCTTCCTCTTTCAATAGAAAATACGTCCACATGGTTACTTGTACGGTCGGTCCAGCTGTTCAAACAAAAACGATGGGCACGCGGTCGCTTTAACCGATTTTCTACCGTTGCTTGTAAAGGACCCTTTTGTGTAGAATTTTTAAGCAGTTTCTATGGTAGGTTCTTTGTTGAAGAAGGCCAATTTATCAACTCCACATCGTCCCTCCACTTGTGCCGCCATTTTTTTAATTTGTTGACGCCGCCTCGCTTTGGCGTGCTGAAATCGTGAAAGCGAGTCTTCCGGAAGTCAACCAGTTTACCGGAAACTGTTTTCGCGTGGTCTGCATAGGTCTAAAAATAACTTTTTTGGGATTAAGATATCCCGGCCAACGCCCTGAGTGTCCCTCTCTGTCCTATTATGGCTCTTGCTCGATGTAAAATTTGTTTCACCCTTGGACGGTCAAATTCTTATTTTTCTCTAAAATCACTTAGCCTTTGCCTCAAAAGTCAAATGAATGTGCCCTGATCTGTGGATTACAAGTTTATTGTTTTATTTGAATTATGAATTTATTAACGGGAGCTTCGCTTTTAGCCCTGGCTAAATCTATATATTATATGTTGTGGTCCATTTTTATCTTTGGTTTAAATTATATTTTGTTTTAACTCATTATCATGTATTACCATGCCCAAAAACAAATGGAAATAAATTGAACAACAACATATACAGTTTTTTAAGCTACATTATGTTCCGCCACGCAGAAGTTTGTTGCGTTATACTAAGACTTGTGAACATGATTTAGCAGTAAATATCTTTTCTATGAAGTATTTTTATTTGATTAATTGGTAGCTGTAGAAAGCGCAAAGTCTCACTTTTTAAGAATCTAAAGCGATAGTTACATAAAGATTAAAACATTTTAACGTCATTAAAATTGTCTTATATGAATAGGCCGACTGTTTTAAAACCCTCAGCACAAATCGCCCAACTCTCTCTCATTTCACTTAAATGACATCACATCACATCGATCGCGGTCGACGGTAGTCGTAGAGGCGGTTCTGGTTGTAACCACAGTCGTAATCTCGTAGGAGGTTACCTCAAACAACAGCGGGAAATGACAGTAGGTTATAGAGGTGAGACACGATGATGATGATGATTGTAATCTGCAAATTAAATACCATTGGAGATTTTTATAGTTATGTTGATGACTCTCAGCTTTGCGGTTTATCTTCTAACCTAAGCTGTGCTTGAAATCAAGATGATGATGTATCGGATACTTCAAGCATTTCCGGCACTCCGACAAACTTATGCTTAACGAGGTCAAAAACGAGTTTCCAGGCATAGCATCACTGTGTCAGTGCCATCAGGGTATCGCGATGTATCCAAAGTGAGGATTGTGCGGAATTTGGGAGCGTGGTTCGATAACCAGTTAACTTAATGACGTGCACATTCCTAAAAAAATTGCACTAGTCCTTACTTTTATTCACTATTTTGATAGTAGCTAAATAGACTACCATGATAGTCTATTATATGGTCTGCCTAAGTACCTGAACACCATTTTATGATTGGCTACTTTTCCTATGCTATAAGAGATACAAGAGGCTCCCCTGGGGATAAAAATGGACCGGGAGGGGGGCCAAAGAGAATCTTGGGCACAAAGATTACAGCAAATAACTTAAGGTTATTTTGACTGAAACTGGTCATAACTTTTATCAATTATCAAGAGAAAGTGGGTAAGTACTTTATGCCATGAAAGTACACATGTGCGATATGTATATGTACGCATGCGTTATTGGCATAACTAGAGGGAGTGAACACTGCAAACCCCGGTGAGAGTTAATGCAATTAAAAGCCACGAGACCACCTTTAGACTGCTATTTTAGGACCATATAGACCCAGTTTGAAAATGGCCACTGGAATAATATTCTTTAGCCTCTCTCCGTTTGTGTTGTGGGGAGGCTGGGGAGAAAGGAAAAGATAGCGCTTCCTATTTTTTCGATTATTGCTACGTTTATCCAGCGGGAGCCTCTGCAGAGGAGAGAGTTCTTTAGCGGAAATTAAAATTAATCGCACTAACCTCGCTCGAGATGACGGGTATTCCTGTGACTTCTGAACTCAAGAACGAGGCCAGTAAGACTGATTTTAATATGAACAAAAAAGAATATTAAACAAATGGCAACCTTTCCATATGGTCTATAAGCTTAAGATATCTAAAAAAGCTTTAGTATTGTTAATAACATTTCACATTCGATGAAGCTGTATGTATAAAGGAGAAAATGTAAATATAGGCTACGAAACCGATCAAGCGGTTTGCTGGTTATTTCGGTTTGTGTAGGATGACTCTTTTTTAAATGCATGGTCTCCTAAAACTGTGTCATGATGCATCTAGTGTGATTGGTGCCAAGGAATACGCAGTTTAATCAATCATATCTATATATTTATGCTGTTTTCGAGTTTAACTCTATAAAGAGTACGTATTGTTTTTCTACGTAAGTTACTTAACTTGAACATTTTTTCATCTACTGAATATAAACATGACATTGAGTAGTAAAAAAAAATCTACTGAGCCGAGCCTTATTTTGTCCTTTTAAATTTTAAAACTTGAACTGACAAAGAGAAAACAACCACATCCTTCCATTATCATCATCATTGTCATCATCATGATACAAAAAGGGTTGTGAAACACATCATTACTTAAAAATGCCGGTACGGATAAACGTCATTAGCCATAAAAATTCTCTGGTTATCCGCAGTTACCACACTTTGCTCAGCCAATCCGCTTCCAGAATTGTGCACAGGGCGAGATGATAAACAAATATTTACTGAGACTTAGGGAAGTAAATAAAAGGGTCTGAAACGAGGCTGACTGTTGAGTAATAGCTCGAAGGGATTCCGCTACTTAAGCTGCAGGGAGACTGAACAGATTACATTATAAAAATTCATTTCTCTTGCAAGGTAAGGTGACTGAAAACCTCCCTCAGAACTCCTTTTCTTAATATAAGTAAAAGAAAAACTTCAAAAATTCAAGCCAGAGATTAGCAGAGATCGATATTTAGGTGTTAGAGACTAACAGAGTGCTAAATCAACAGAAAACAAACTATAGCCGTGCAGTGAAGGAGTAAAAGAGAATGCTTCTGCACTGTAACCTTACCCAATTTGGAAACGTTCTTTGCGGAGCATAAAAAGGGGCAAAAGAAGAAACTTCAATTTTTATACTAAGGATCGTTTGCTCAGGTAAACTTACTGAAGAAAATACTGGGCGAAGTATCGCTACTGTTAAAGACAAGGAGTTGAAAAAAGGGAGTTAGTAACAGACACTGTAAAAATGCAAAGAACTAAATCCGTCTGGAGTGTACGAGTTTAGGATGATTAGATGGAAGAGCCCAGTTATGGCAAGAATAGCACCAACACTCAGGTCTGGAATAAATGTTAACCGCTTCCGGCCTTGAGAAAGGCCTTGAGAACTGAATTGAGAGCGAACATTTTTTTAATGTCTTAAAACCTTCCTTTTTCCTGAGTTACGGCGACATGTTCAAGAACACCAACAACGAAGGCGTCGTGTGTTGTTTAAGAACGTAAACAACAAACTAAAATGCCAGGGTTTACACATTAAAATGCAATACGCGATACATAAATATGCACCAGGAAAGAAATTTGATTTATTTCCCCTTGCATACTAATACTAAACCCCTTCGCATATTAATCAACGGTTTATTTGGCCCTCTTTTCCTTTCTTACAATCAAACCCTCACTTGTGTTTGAAGACTGTTGATTTGGAAATTATGAGATATATAGCCCCCCTAACCCTCCCTCCCCCCAATAAAAGAAAAAGAAAGAACAAATGAATGTCCAGATCCTCTCGAACGGATCTCGAGGTTGACCAATAAGATAAAGCAACGAAAGGACTGAAATCACGTCTTTTTCAAATGTCAACATCAAATCCTAGAGCCGTTTCTCCAAGCTATTGAAAATTCAGGATAACTGAGGAAGACAAACCTAAACAATTATAGACGCATATGGTTTTCAGTTTCATTGTTGATCAGTTTCTTTCCTATCTTATTTTAGACGACTGAACACACACAGGCAAGCTTGAAGTATTATGGCGGTAAGTTGAATATAATATGTTCCCTGATTCTTGAATCCAGAGTCTTGCCACAAAAAGGTTAATATGTAGTAAGTTGCCTACTTTTTTTTCAGTTTTTACTCTTTGATTCAGGTGTGTTCGGTTTCGGTGATGAACGGTATATTTTATATACGCATAATATTAATATTACTAGTAAGAACCTGGTGGTTTAAGCTGTCAGAAATTTCCTATTTTAACAACCAAAATACTAACATTAGAGCTGTACCTGCTTAGCCAAGCAAGATCAAGCAAGTTCTTTTTTGTGACATACAGTTAAATTATGACAAACATTTTACTCACGAAGTTTGACTTTGAGATTGGAAGTTTTATAGCAGTCTTACATTTCCTTCACAGAAAATACAAACCGAATTTAAGAATTAATCTTCTTAGGCTGAATTGCAAATCACACTAAAAAACAGAGAAACCTATTTCGCCAGAAGTCCAAAAATGCAAGTTCTTACTCGTGGGACGGGGTTTTATTGTAATAAACGGGGAAGTCATACATGACTTTTTTGCCAATTATTATGGTACCAGATGCCTTATTGATGAACGCTTGATTGACAGGCGTTCGAAAGCGGAGTAGAGAATTCGGGTCCACCGGAAACGTACCGCTTGCATGTACTCGCTCACCCTATCACATAGGCTAGTCTTATTTACTTAATCTCGCTCCCCTCCAGCTCGCTTTATGGCTTCTTTCTGCCGTGAAACTCGCGAGGAGGACGTTTGGAATGCATTGTGCTCCAAATGTGAGAACGCATGTTCGTTGGGAAGAGGCACACACCGGCAACTTTGACAAGATTCATGCACGTATTCGTAAGATTAGGGAACTTAAGATGGAGACGTTTTCTGGGCGACGGCGACCGGACTGGCAGAGAAAGCCTGGAACTAAGGCAGCCGTCGCTTCCCGTCAAAAATAGAACATTAAGATCGCAGTGAACTCAGAAGGACGGCGCCTTTAATTAGAAGAATACCGAAGAGGAAAATATGGCTTCACATGAAGAATTAAAAGAATAAATATTTGCTATGCAGACAACATGTATCGGATGAAGAGTTTCTCGTTTTGTGGGAAAATTATGAGTCCAAAAATCCCGATTTTCCTCGGGACAGTTACGATCCGTTCACGCTAAAAAACATGCGGGATGCAGCTGAGTTCAAGGCAGAATTCCGTGTTGAAAAAAAAGAGACCTCCACAGGCTTGCCGAAGCCTTGCAAAGTACAGGAACATTAAAATGCTACCAAGGAACCGTATTCTTAGTTTGGTGTTGAAATAATTCCCGGGAAATACTTGCATGCAACAACGGCAACAACTTTATTTCAGTATTCCCACGCCGAGTTATTACATGGTATTACCCACTATTCTATATAATTTTCAATGCGTTTCACTTATACGATATTCTAACGAAAAGAGCGAACTAAAAAAACACAATTGCAATATCGGAGTTCATATTTTGTGTCTGGATACTTTTATTTGGCTCGTAGGAAAATTTTGTCCATGTCAAGCTCACTTACGGTTGGCTGTTTGCCAAGTTGGATCTTGACCCTGTGACATGAAAACATAGAAACATTATAAAGATGTAAGTTTAGATAACAGAGCTTGGAAATCGAGCTTGAAATGTGCCTCAAAGAAAACAAGGACAATTTAAGAACGATAATCTACAAAATGTTGGTTGCTAAACGCAACAAACCTGATTGAAATGAAAGTTAAATACTCACGTTTTCGCCACAACGCCAAACAGACCAGTTTCACGTCGCCGACGGCACCACGACGGCAAGGTGGTGAGCACGAGCATGCGCAGTATCCAACAAATGATGATGTCACGTCCGGTTGAAGTTGCCGTCGCCCCGAAAACGTCACTATCTTAAGTTCCCTATTGAAGCAGTTCGATAACGTGACTCGTGAATGTTTATTATTGAATCTCTTCAGTTGACTTAGTCATTACGCTAATCATACGGAGTAACAGAGGTTTTTTTTATATTTTGCATTCAGTTGATTGACAAGTTGCTACGTGAATTCGCGAAGGAAAATTTTGGTGATCAAGAAGGAAGCTATTTCCCTGTTGTCCATGGCCGAACCCAAGATATAAAGTTACTTACGCTTGTAGTAAAGAAACCTACTACAGCCGATCAAGAATGTGGAGTCAAACCGCAGAGGTACACCGTTCTTGCCGAATTAAGAAGGTACGCAGCTGAGGAAAACGTTGAAGAATTTGAGGCCATGATGAAGAAACACATCGTAAAAGAAGATTGCGGGGTATTACCTGAGGGTGAAAATGAAGATGATAAAGGAGCTGGAAGGTAAATTTTAAATAAACAGTAATGAAACATTACGCATGGTTTATAAATAAGAAACGTTTTTTTGCTCTGATCAGATTTGGGGTACCTTGCGAGTTGATCAGTCTACTTCGTTCTTCTTAGATAACTCGGTAGGAAAGGTCAAAGCGACTCTGTTATCAAAAAAAAAAAAATTACTCAAAGTTAAATCTGAGGAATTGACATCGCTACTAGGTTATTGTCAGCTGTATTGTCATGAAAAGAAATATAGTAGAAACTATCAGGTCAACTTAAGAAATATCACCTCTCTTGATAATCTCCGCATGAAATTAATACGGTAACCTTTTTGCGCAGAAATCTGATTAACTTACGCGAATATCAAGGACAAAGATGATTTCATAGGCTTTTGTCTTTTCTCTAATGAATAAAATGCGGGATCGACAAAGGAAAATAATGCGTAGGTGGAGGAGGAGGGTGAACAATAGAAATGTGGTGTTGGTGGTGTTTGGAATGCGATTTCTTCATTTTACTCATGAGAACGACAAAAGGCTATGACATTAGCTATGTTCATGTATTTTTGCACAAGTCAATAAGATAGCTGCGCAAAAGCGGTTAATTTCATCACTACTATACTACTTTCAATCATATCTGAAGTGATGAATAAGGATCGAAGAAGAGAAAAGGAGAGGAATTTCTAAAAAAATTGAAGTGTATACACAAAACGACTTAGTGTTTAATTTCCTTTTTACTTATGAATAAGCGATCTTGCACGTTCTTGAAGGTACAAGTTTCCTTTCTTGTGATGGGCTGTACTGGTAAATTGAGTATGGCGGAGTGTGAATTACAGTGCTCTCTTGATAACGAATAAAAGTTTAAGATCGGGAAGGCTGCATTACTATAGACTCTTGCCTAGTCAAAGATGTTTTCCAAATTCAGCCGAAAATTAATCTTCAGTTTACTTTAATGCTACCATTCGGTGGACAAAATACTACTCTATCCACTCATTTGAACATTGGTTTCGAAGATCGAAGGAGACGCAAAAGTAAGTCCTTCTGGGGTGAAAGAAACATGCAAGACGATTGAACACTCGAGGACCATAGCATCTATAGCAACCAAATGAAACGTAAGATCTACTTTAAAGCAATGTAAAGGCTATTGAAAAAAATAATTGTTCAGTTAATCGTGTTATCTTCGAAGGTGGAAGTGGACGCAGGATTCAACAACTTTTCGACCTTCTTTGCTAAGTTGAAAGGAACCTACAGGATGACTGATAGTCCTTCAAATATAGCAACAAGAAATAACTCTCGAGGACCATTCCTGTTCAAGTGCTGCCGCGTTGTGTATAACAAGGAAACAAATCGATTGGAACTCCCCGAGGAAGAGGTTGTTGGAAAAGATTTTCTTAGATGTAAAGAGGACGAGGAGGACGTGGAGGACCAGGAGGAGAAGGAAAAAAGTTATTTGATCGGTAAGACCATATATATAGAGAGGGAGGGGATCGAGGGATGATGCAGTGGTGAGAGCACCCATCCCGAGAGGTTCTCTCCTTAGCTCAGAGACGTGTTTCCTTGATACATGTACTCCGGCTTTCCCCTCTCCCGAAAACAAACATTTCCAAATTCTAATTGGATCAGGAGCGAGGATGTGCTACCTCTAAATCGTTGTTTATTGTTTATTGATTGATTTATTAAATTAAAAAAAAATAGAAAATGGAAGTCATTAATTGGATTTGAGGTTCGCGGTTGACCGCTTTTGTAGCTCTTTAGGCTTAGTAAAGTGTGTCTCTCAACGTAATTTGATTGAGGAATAATTGCACAAATAGATTGAATTTTCTAACATAATATTTGCGAGCAATCAGTTAAGTCAATCCATTAAATGCTGATTTATACCGCAAAATAAAATTAGAAAACTTTCTTTAGGTGCAGATTCTAAAACGTATAAGAAAACATATGACATGGAAAGCATTAAAAGCATTTTTGAGTGTATAACGGGATATAGCTTTAAATCACGACTCGAGGAATAATTCTGAAAAATATTCTTGTTATAGTAGATGGATTTTGGGGCACAGTGCACATTGTAGCTAGGGTTGCCTCCTCTTTATTTTCTTTCCAGGTTGGGAGATTTGTGTTTTGTCCAAGATGCAGCGTAGCAATATTAAATTTTGGATCGTTCTGTTAAAATGCTATCTTCTAAATTCATCCAACAGGTTTGTCTGAGACTGAATGAAACAGGAACAAAAAGGGCTGCGCAGGACGAGTCTTTGGAGTCAAGTGACTGACTCTGATATCATCTTGAAGCAATTTTTTTATCGCATCTCGAGTCTAGCATGTATCTATAAGGTGTGATCAGGTTTTAAAATAGTATCGTAAACAAAAAAATAAAATATTCTTTTTTACTTTACTTTCAATCCCGGTCATAATTACTTGAAACTTTTAAGGAAACACATGAGAGAGGGTACACGTGTTGCTTCTGTCTCCTTCCTCTAATAACACGGATGAAAAGATGGAGGGAGTGAGAAGAGGCGGGGGGGGTGTTGGGTTAGGGGGAGAGATCGGTAAGGTAGCCTTCCAGTGATTATGATTATGACCGAGATTGTGTCTGCTGATGTTCAATTTGTAAGATATGACAATTGTAGATGTTTGTAAAACGTTTAAATCTCTTGAATGTCTCTCATGGCTGTTGCATACTTAAACATTAATGCCACTAGTACTGAGAGATTCAAAGTTACGTCAATCCATCACGATAATGAATGATTTCTTATTTGCGTATGATATAATCGTTTAGATTTGTTGAGCGTGTCTAAGTGTAGCATAGCCGTCTAGTGATTAAGAAATCTTCGTTATTAAACCACACTCATGGCTTGTCGATTCGTACCATTGTTTCCTCGGTGGTCCGCTGATCGTCATTATTGCGCACCCTAAGACAGCATTATTTAAAAAAAGATAAATCCCGACCACGGCCCCGGCCCGACCCCACGTTTTTCTGACACCCGATCACGACAAAGACGTACGTTATAGCCCTGCCACGTTTGTCACGCCAGAACGTTTTCCGTTCTCTTTCATTCTGCCATCCTGTTACGTAAGCTCGCTACTGCCCGATGTTAGCAAGCAGGAACGGAGAAATCATAATGGTTTATGAATTATGTTTTGGTTTTTCTATTTTTTAAATTGTAGCTGTAGAAATTGCAGAATTACAAAGTAAGTAGAATAGGTGCAGTAAGTGGTAAAGCAATTAGTTTTTTTCTAATCAGAACATCCAGCGGTAACTATAATATATTTGGAGATAACAAGATTTCATCGCCATTGACATTGCCTCACGTTATTAACGTACTGTTTTTTCATTGCGAAATATACTGTCAATCTTTTGTAAGCCCTTCTTGGTTACACCCGTTCTGACCCTCTGAATTCTGACTGTACCCAGTAATAAAGACAATCACAGCCATTAATTTTGCCCCAATTAAGCGAATATTGGTTCCAGAATATGGAAAATTTTTCCTTGTGGAATCCTCAATCCTAGGCTTTTGAATCAGCATTACAACTAAAGGAATCCGGAATTCAAGTTCTAGTGACAAGGACCGGAAATCCGTATCTAACATCCAGAATCCACGGCTTGGAATTCAGAATTCAAGACTGACTTGGATTCCCTTACAACAAATTGGGACGATCAATTGTAGCACATTAGAAGACATGTTCAGACCAAGTACTTTTACGCGGTGATAACTTTATTCCCTTTCACCAAAAAAATGCTACCGTTTTTCCGAGTTTGATTGAACATAAAGTCCCTCGCAATCAATTCTTTATTGAAAGGGAATCGTCGTTTCAAAGACAATGGCCGAGAAATAAAGAACCCAAAAAATGAACTTGTCGGTACTGGCAAACTATAGCCTGTCATCAAGCAGGAATTTAGGTAGCGCGAGAAAACAGCCGACATTCACCGGCGCCAACACTGGCTTCCCCGCGAAATGATGACTGAGACGCGAGCGCAGAAATTTCATACTGATGAAGCCTTACTATACCCAGATCTTGGTAATGCTTTTGATTAGTTGAAGCCAATTTCCCACGCAGCACGACAACCATGCGAGGGACCTAAAGTAAAATCTCGTCTGCGCATGTCCTCATTATAAATGCACCGCTAGAATTGAAAACTACTTGAAATTTCCTTTCTTTTGATGTATAATTTGCCTTTGTTGGAGAGGAGTTTGGCTCGATAAATGGAATTTTAAAGTAGCTACTTATAGTTCTTAGCCAATTTCGTGTGTCTGCTTGGCAAAATTAAAAATTACAAGTCCATAAATAAAAGTTCATTTTCTTTTTGCGTTGTGTTGTGGACACATATTTCAGTTTTAATTTAATTGACAATGTCTATTTCTTCCATTTGTTTATTACTTGAAAAATTAATAGAGATTACCACATTTTATATTTAAAAATTCAAAGGAGCAAGAGGCACCCTGTTCTCTCCTTTTAAAACGAGTTTTGCTTATCTCAGTCACTTTGAGTCATTAAAATTCTAAAGCCCAGGATTCCGGAATTGCACGGATTGCGCAATCCAGAATTTATAAGACTTCATTATAAATTTTCTAAAGAATATTTTTACAAGTGTCCTGGCACCGCAAATAGCTGTAGCTAGTCTAGGCAGGCCAAGAATGATACGGAAAGAAAATAACTGCAATTAAATTAAGGTAAAAAAAAAAAAAAGAAGTAGAAAGCAAGAGAGATTCATCAGCTTTAAAATAAAGATATGGAGCGGTTAACTAATTTCAAAAATTATAATCTTAAGAGGAAAAACATATGAAAAAAGATGCATTTAAAACTCTAAGGAGGAAAAGAAAACAAAACATTAGATCGCTGTTTTTATAGGCAGGATTACAAAATAAGTATCACCAGTCTCCAGTATATCAAGCAATGACGCACGAATATTAAATTTGAATTTGTGTTTTGAAAGTGTGTGCAACTTGGTTGGTATCTCATTCCATAATTTGGTACCAAGTCTTGAGAAAAAGTTTTTTTTTCAATTTCAAGATTCGATTTT